GATAACCGGCAAAAGTTATGTTGAATCGTAGGATGACGCATGTTTGGGGCTATAAATGCGGAGAGGTGTGCGTCTAATCAACCGTGAGAAGCCTTCAAAAGGAATCATAGTAATTCCCGCCAAAAGAGTGTTTCTACCAACTTTCCGGTAACACAAAGTTATGTAACCGGAAAGCAGGGGGCTATCGTATAGGGTAAAATATGCTATGCTAGGTGGCTGATTAAAATATGACACACGGAACCGAGGTCAATTATCTCTTTTGGCACCGTGGGGAGTGAGACTCATAAAGAGACAATAAATACCTTCCGTCCTATGACATTAATGGAGAATATCCCATGTCATTAAGTGCACTGCCCGTTACAATGAATTTGTCATTTAATCTCGCCGTTACATCTTCATTAACGGCCCTCATAATTGACATTAAAGAAGAGCACCAGGACCTTGTTTCCTAGACGTAGCTATAAATAATGAGCTTTGTTATCATTGTAAGGGGACGGATTTCCTGGCAAACTAGTACTACAATCTACTCAAAGCTATATACAATTTTATCTTCTCATTTTTTGCTCTTATTATTGTTCTTACTACTGTTGTCCCCGGAGGCTTCGCTTTCCTTTCATCTCGTCTTCATCAAGGCTAAGTATTACATATTCCTTCATTTATCTTGTTATTTAAGGATCAAATTAATTCACTTGTCTAAAAATTACGTATAAATTCAACTGTACCGTCTTGCGGGTCTACAAAAAAAAAAAAAAAAAAATTCTCCGTTCCGCTTTTCAGATTTTGTAAAAAAAAAAAGTTAGAAAAGAAAAAGGCAAAGGTTTATGTCGAAATTGAATGGGAGTTGATAAGGTAATTCTATAAGCTTAGTTCTGAAAATATTTGTGCTTTTCTTAACAGATTAAACTTTCAATAAAAAAATAAAATAAGAAACGAGGAAGGCTAAGTCAATTCAAAGTTCTTCATAGCTCCAGAGGAAAGTAAATATACAATAAGTTGGCTCAGTTAACTAATTTTTTTAATAGCGAGGACTGGAGGGATACGTCAATTTAAAGTTCCTCTTAGGCATAGTCGTAAAAAAGTAAATATTCCTATAACAATAAGTTGGTAAAGTAAATTAATTTTCTAATTGACTAATCAATCTTTCACCTTTTCAGCTCTTTGTTTGTCTACATAAAATCGCTGCCGTAAATGCTGACCTTCCCTAAAATAATTATTTTAAAGTTTAGGTAATGCATGCAGCTTTTTGTTATCTTCATATCCCCGGTTAGGGGCAGGCCTAACTTATAAGGTATGAATTCAATTCACGTGAATCCGATAATTTTTACGTTGGTAATGTATTTGCATTAAAATATTTACTAAATATTTAAATATCTAATTGTAAATTTAAATATTATGTATTTTAACTTGAGATTATTATAGTAATTCATAAACTTTAAATCGTGAATCCGTCTCTATCTTCAACGGCACGTTAACAAACAACAAAGTAACCTTTTTTTATTCGGTAAAATGTAACATCAATTCGTTAGAATTAGTCGGAACAAGTCAAATTTATTTTGTTTAGGTAATGCATGCAGCTTGGCACTTTTTGTTAGCTTAATAAATCCCAATCAGGGGCGCCCCTAGCTTATAAATTTTGAGTTCACGTGAATTTAGTAATTTTTGCTCGGGCCTTGTTTTTGCATAAGAAATCTATTAAATATTTGATTGTAAACTCTCAGTTATTATGTTGTAGGAATCCAGAACTTATCTGAATGTTTTTTTTTTTTTGGTAAAAAATAACATCAATTCGTTAAAATTAGTTGGAACAAGTCAGATTTAGTATGCAGTCTCTTAGAATTGGTGGTTTCCCGTGTGAATGTACGAGTACAACAACAACAAATCAAATATAATGTTCGAAAGGGAGTAGTGTGTATGCAGTCTTACCCCGAAGGTAAAAAAACGATTTCCAATATACTTTCGGCTCAGGAAAAGTATAATCACAAATTCACAATATTATAATGTGAATGCACGAGTATATGATATATTCTATATCTCAAAAGCAAAAGATTTCTTGCAACTTTATGTATCTTCCTTATAGCACAAGAAACTAATCCTTACGGAAGAAATTATAAAAAGCTTTGGAATATCAATTTCATGGTAATTTCGATCTACTTAATAAAAAAACTATAGATTAGTCAGAGCCCAGAATTAAAGGGTGTTGTATTGCTCTTTATCTAGGAACAATGCACCTGTATCATTAGGCAAAAATTGTAAACTTAAGTCTTTAGTGCATGAATCAAACATATATTTAGGATCTTGAACTTCATAATGTTGCATAGATAACGTTAATTATAGGGAAACATACCTGATGCGGAAGATATTATTACAGAAAATAAGTTATTTACTCTAACTTTCGTTACCGCCATTTTTAGTGATGAAAAAAGATCGAAAAGAGAATACGCTAACCTAATAGGTGCAGGGAGGACCGGTTTATAGAGTTTATGGCCTAATGAGGTAACATATGAGATTTATTCTTCATTAGATATTGATTATATACGGCAATTGCGTAAGTAACCTGATAAAAATAATATTTAGTTGGTTATCATTTATAAACTAAACTACATTGATCATGCAAAGAATTTTTACACTTACTGTATATATAACCTAAATTCTTTGAGAATATTTTCAATCTTTTCTTGTTTTAGCTTTCCCATTTTCCAAATCAAGGATTCTTCGATAATTCTAATTAACTAAAAGTTGTTTCTTTAATTAAACCATGCAAAACACAAGTCAATGCATCTACTTTAAGCGATAACCAATGTCGCAAAAGTCCACTATGTACCTTTACTCTGCCGTGTCTTTAATTAGTCTTTACCAAATCATAAGATTATTGTGTTTGTGTGGGTCCCTACCTGGAAAATTTACATATTTAACTCCCAAAAATTCAAACTTTTTTATTTCCTTGTAGTTGTCACACACAGTTATAAGTTATACCACTTAATTATCAAGAAATCAATCAATCTGTAATTCACCTAACATGAAGTTCTGTGTACTATAGTGTAAAGACAGATTAAGTTGACTTACAAAAAGTGGTCACTCATCATATCAAGCTTGATATTATTACTCGTGTAATAGAGTCAAACTTCTCTATAACAAAATCGCACTGCAACAAAATTGGCCTACGGCAACACTTTTAATGTATCTGTGTAAGGATAGACTTGTTGTGGATTTCACATAAAAGGTTTAAAATCGTTCTTATTAGAATTTGTTATACTGCTTTATTGTCTAACAAACTTCACCTAAATTTTAATATTTTTATATTTTTGATAATGCATTTGTTTCAATTTCTTTTGTATCTCTTGGATAACAAAGGAAGAGTAGAGATTGCCGATGATATTTGAAATGTCCACTTAAATGATGTAATGTTGTGAAACTCACGAATTCAGCTACACCGTATTTCTTCGGTGAAACTCAGCTTGATTGACTTGAATAAAGCTAAAACTTCTATTTTTAATTGAAGAACTCGAATATTTTAAGAGGACACAATTCCTTTGAATTTATGTTTGAGATGAGTTTACAAATTTAATGTAGAAACAATTCTGGTGGCATGAACCTGAAGCTTTAAACCGGTTTTGTTTGTTTTATTTTTTTATAACAGGTATACATCATTGGCCATGGTCTGACCAAGAAGTACAAAGATCTTCAGACAATAAGCATACCATCCAGGTACAAAAATTAAACATGTAACTAAATTGTGTTTTTACAATTCTCAAAAAAAGGAAGAGAAACTACAGTATGTTAGTATTATAGATGATTAATCTCTTTGTATTGTTGTTCTCATATAAGTAATCTTAAATCCTTTGTTTGCACTATTTCCTTTGTCTGTAGTATAGTCTTGCTTTGCTTTGTTGAGTTACGCTTTGGCTAGTTTAGTATCTCGTAAAAATTTGCTTGTCGATGCTTTCTTGTCTATTTCAACTATTTCTATTATTCATTTGTTCGCTTCTTATGTTCTCTTCTCGATTTGTTTTATATTTTCTAAGTTCATTTGTTTCAGCATTTATGCACAAAGTTTCTACGATTCTGCACAATGTTTTTGCATTTTTGTACAGCGTTTCGGCAATTTCTGCGTTTCTGCACAGTGTTTCTGCGTTTTCTGCATTTCTACACTGCATTTTTGCACAGTGTTTCAGCATTTCTGCATAGTATTTCTGCGAATCTGCACAGTGTTTTTTGCATTTTCTGTATTTCTGCACAGCGTTTCAGCAAATCTGCACATCATTTCAGTAATTTCTGCGTTTCTGCACAGTGATTATGCGTTTTCTGCATTTCTGCACACTATTTTTGGAATCTGCACAGAGTTTCTGCATTTCTGCACAGTGTTTGGGCAATTTCTGCATTTCTGCACAGTGGTTTTGCGTTTTCTGCACTGTGTTTCTGCATTTTCTGCATTTTTGCACAGTGTTTCAGCATTTTTGCATAGTATTTCTGCGAATCTGCACAGTATTTTTGCAATTTCTGTATTTTTGCACAGTGTTTCAGTAAATCTGCACATCATTTCAGTATAACTTTTGATATAATGGAACTATATTTTCATGTGTTAAATTTTATATGTATAACTTTTGATAATTTTTATAACCTCTGCTAGATTACCTATGGTGAACTTGAAGTTGTGTTTGGCCTAAGATAAGTGTCATGACTAGGTAAGAAATTCTTATTCTCTTTATTTTTTCATTATGCTATTAGATTATTACTAGAACTATGTTACGCGGACTCTCCAAAATACTGTCGCACCCGTGTCGGATTCTCCAAAAATACACTATTTTTGGAGACTCCGACATGCACAGGTGATATTTTCGGAGAGTCCGAGCAACATAGCTATAGAACAACCGATTTTGAAAAATTACTCGTTATTTTTAGGGTATATTTGTCAAGTATATTTAACACTTAAATAAATCTGTATTTTGAAATCCAATATCACCATTGATTTTAGGTTTTCAAATGATCCTTCCAAGGCTTGGATGGATTTACCAAGGTATAGCAAAGAGTATATTGATGGTGTTCAACATTTTTTGGACTTCGCTTATTCTGATGGAGATCCTCAGGGCGAAGAAATTCAATGCCCGTGTGCAAAGTGTTGTAACATCCCTTGGTATCGAAGGAATGTAGTTTATGATCATTTAATATGCAATGGTTTTGTTAAAGGTTATACAAGATGGATTAATCATGGTGAATGGGAAATTCCAATGGATGTTAATGATGATATGGATGAAGATAATTCATATGATGACATTGATGGGTTGTTGAATGATCAATTTAGATATGTTGCACAAGGAGTTGATGAATGCCAAAATGAAGATGCCAAAAAATTCTATAACTTAGTTGACGAGGCAAGTCAAGAATTATATCCTGGTTGTAAAGGATTCTCTAAATTATCATTCACGATCCGTCTATATTTGTTGAAGTGTCTACATGGATGGAGCAATGAGTCCTTTACTTCCCTCTTAGAGTTATTGAAAGAGGCGATGCCCGAGTTGAACATTCCTTTATCCTGCAACAATTCCAAGTCTTTTGTAAAGAATCTAGGTCTTGATTATAAGAAAATTGATGCATGTCCCAATGACTGCATGTTATTTTGGAATGATCGTAAAAGTGATGAATATTGCCTTGTTTGTGGAGCTTCTCGATACATTGAATATCCTGAAGTAGATAGCGAGCTTGAGCCTTCCAAAAAAGCTCATCGTGTTGCTGCTAAAACTTTGAGACACTTTCCATTAATTCCTAGACTCAAACGGCTGTGCTCAAAGACGGCAGATAAATTGAGATGTCATGACGAGGAGCGGTCTAAAGATGGAAAGTTAAGGCATCCTGCCGACGGCCAAGCATGGAAAGACTTTGATAGCCTTCATCCAGATTTTGCAAAAGATTCTCACAATTTGAGACTTGGCTTGGCAAGTGATGGATTCAATCCATTTCGGACCATGAGCATATCTCATAGCACATGGCCAGTTGTCTTAATGGTTTATAATTTACCTCCTTGGATGTGCATGAAACAAGAATATTGCATGCTTTCGTTGCATATATCTGGGCCGAGATCTCCTGGAAATGATATTGACATTTATTTGCAACCACTAATAGAAGAGTTGAAGGTATTGTGGGAGTTAGGAGTTGACACATATGATGCTTCAAGAAATCAAACCTTTCAAATGCGAGCAGCTCTTATGTGGACAATTAGTGACTTTCCTGCCTATGCTATGTTATCTGGGTGGAGTACAAAAGGAAAATTGGATTGTCCATGTTGTAATTATGGCACTAATTCTTGCTATCTAAAACATAGTCGGAAAATGTGTTACATGGATCATCGTGTTTTTCTGCCCATATACAATATATGAGCGACAATTTTAACCGCAAATCGGATCTTGAAACTGGACTGAACTCTACTTTTTCCAAATAAAATTCTTCCTCCTTTTAAATCTCCTAAAGCTAATGTTTCTCTGCATATAATATTTTCCTTTTGGTTAGATTGCCGAGTCTCCTCTCTTGTTGCTAAATGTTCTCTTTATATAGAAGAATATTGGTAGTTTTTTATTTATTTTTGCCCCTCCAATTTGTAGTAAGGAACGTGTATTTTGAAATGAAGTTGAGGAATTCAGTTTGCATGCTAGAGTGAAAGACGTGAAGAGTGGAGAGGTGGAGGGTCGTGTGTGTGTATGTGTGTGACGGAAATGGGATGTGGGGTTGGTACGTGAGAGACGTGGGGAAGGAAATGACAGAGGAGTCATGGATGAGTTGCAAAACTTTTTAAGGCAGAAATAGCCTAAATGGCACCTGTACTTCTCCCACTTTGTCATGCCGGTCCCCAAAGTTAGACATTTGTCAACTGAACACTTATACTCATTCAAAACGTGAATAATAAACGCNGTTGTATTATTTGTTGCCAATACCAATTAAAAGCATACTCCTGATCATGTTGCTATTCCTTTGATTCGTCTAAGTTCCTTTTTTCGCCGTTTATGTCAAAAAGTTATCACATTGGAAGATCTAGATTGTTTGGAAGAAGAGATTCGAGAAACAGAAAATCAATTGGAGCGAATTTTTCCTCCTTGTTTTTTTGATATAATGGTTCATTTGCCTATTCATTTGCCGAACGAGGTAAGATTTGGAGGTCCAGTTCAATGTCGATGGATGTATCCTCCCGAAAGATTTATGTGTAGGTACAAGTCATATGTTCGCAACAAAAATCATCCAGAAGGATCTATTGCTGAGGCATACTTGGTTGAAGAATGTCTAAATTTATGCTCTAGATACTTACATGGGGGTGTACATACCAGATTTAATAGAAGACCGCGAAACAATGATGATTGTGGTTCAGCAGATGAGCAAACTTGTAGTATGTTCCCAAACAAAGGATGTCCTTTAGGAGGAAAAAAGGGTGTCCCAGATGATCTAGATGACAAGTCACTAAGTCAAGCACATAGATACATATTGAAAAATTGTGATGAAATTCAAGAATATATTAGGTAATTTAACTCATTTGTAGTATTTTCTTTTATATGGATAATTTTAAAATTATTTTATATAATTTTTGCTAACAAAAAATAATACTTGATGTGTAGAGAGCATGAGCTTGAAGTTAATAGTCATGAGCGAAGATCTAAATGGAGCAAGGCCAAGAGTCATAGTCAAAACTTCTCCCAGTGGTTCGAAAGTCGTATTATGCATGAGGAGGTGCCTGATTTTATAAAACAATTATCTAGAGGACCAAATACAATTGCTAAAAGATATTCTGGGTATCTCATTAATGGATATAGATTCCATACGAGGCAGCGTGATGCAAGGCGTACAACACAAAATAGTGGTGTTACATTAGTTGCATTAACTAAAAGTTTTGCAAGCTCCAAGGATAAAAATCTGGTTGATGCAAATTTGACTTATTATGGTAGAATAATTGATATCGTTGAGTTAGATTATTTTGGACATTTTAAGGTTGTGTTGTTTAAGTGTGACTGGTATGAGGCTGAAGAAGATACTTATGGTCTTACTTATGTCTACTTCAACAAGAAATGCTACCAAGAAGAGCCCTTCGTGCTAGCATCACAAGCACACCAATGCTTCTATGTACAAGATCCATATGATCAAGACAAACATTATATTATGAAGACTGTCCCGAGAGACTTGTTTAACATAAGTGACCAATATGAATCTGATGTTCCCTACTGTTATGAAAATGAGCCGTATGAAAATTCGATGAGCCCATCTATACCGAATGATGATGGTGAAGTTGTCTTAGTAAGGAGTGACGTACCTGCAACCATAATTGATGTGCCTCCAGAAGGATATCGTGCTCAAGAAGCTGAAATTGAATCGAAAGATGAGTTCGATGTTGAGGATACATCATGAATTTGATTCTAATTTAGAAGTTGAATGCTAGTAATAAGTTCATCTAGAAAAATAGTTCAATTATTGTTTCATTAACAACTAGAGAGATATTATAAACTCATGCTTTAGATGTCAAACTGATGACATTTGCTTGTCGATGCTCTCTTGATTATTTCATCTATTTCTATTATTCATTTATTCGCTTCTTATGTTCTCTTCTCGATTTACTTATATTTTCTAAATTCATTAGTTTCAGCATTTATGCACAAAGTTTCTGCGATTCTGCACCGTATTTCTGCATTTTCTGCATTTTTGCACAGTGTTTCAGCATTTCGCATAGTATTTCTGCGAATCTGCACCGTGTTTCTGCATTTTCTGTACTTTTACACAGTGTTTAGTATTTCTGCGAAGCTGCACAGTGTTTCTGCACTTTCTGCATTTCTGCACAGTTTTTATGCGTTTTCTGCATTTCTGCACAGTTTCTGCACAGTTTTTATGCGTTTTCTGCATTTCTGCACAGTGTTTTTGCATTTTCTGCATTTCTGCACAGTTTTTATGCGTTTTCTGCATTTCTGCACAGTGTTTTTGCATTTCTGCACTGTGTTTCTGCATTTCTGCACATTATTTTAGAATTTCTGCACAGTGTTCTGCATTTTCGTGTGGCGTTCCGTCAATTTCTGCACAGCGTTTTAGCATTTTCTGCACAGTATTTCTGCATTTTTTGTGCTGCATTTCTACAGTTTTTGCATTTTTGCATAGCGATTCTGCATTTCTTCACAGTGTTATTGCATTTTTTGCATAACGTTTCTGTATTTTCTGTATTTCTACACATTATTTTGGCATTTTTTGCTTTCTGCATTCCGCATTTTCGCTATTTTCTAATTAATTTTTTCCCCTCTTTATGAAGAATGAATGCAGGAGCAAAGAAAAAGGGTTTGAATCCAAACAAAGCTCAAAGTCCTATGAAGAAGATATGTTTTGATTTTCAGTTTCGATCAAGTGCTGAATTAGCCAAGCAATTTCAGATTAAGAAAGAAAAACTAGCTCATGATAAAGAGCATAGAATTGTGAAAGAGCAAGCACCAGTAACTCATAAACGGAAGCATCATATGCCTACAATATCTAATGCAAGAGAAGGACAAAGTAGATAAAGGTTAATTCAACTTGAGGAGTCCTTTCAACAGCAAGGAAATGGAAAATTACCTATGCAGAAATCCATAATCCAGTTGTCTTCGAAGGAAGCTCTTAACACTTCACATATGATTGAAAGAAGACAAGGAGAAGGAGAAATTTGCAAAAAAGTGAAGAGGAAGCCGGTCTTATCGGCAACGAGTCTTGACCATTTTCTAGAAAAAAATGGAATATATGTGAGTGGAGAAAAACAACCTGATAATCAACCAGTAGATGGTTTCAGATCTATGCCCTCCCCTCTAGTTGATGAGCATAATCTAGAATTGGATGATTTTGCTGCACAAGAAGAAGTTGGCGAGGATGAGTGTGTTAGAGACGAAGCTATGGACATTGATTCTGCTACGGGTGGTATATTTTAAACCTATTAATTTTGTATGTTTATTGTATTCTTTTCCTTATGTCTTGGTTTTTACATTAGGGACATCAGATAAGAAGAAAGTTCGAGGTCAAACAAAATGCAAGATAATTCATGCAAGAAACTTTGAGGAAAGACAGGAAGTGACATTTGATAAAGGACAAGCTGTTGGACCAACCGGCAAAAGAGTGTCTGAGTTAAGCAACTTTATAGGAACAATTGCCAGGAATCCCAGATTTATCACCTTGTTGTTCACTAGCTGGCATGCTGTCTCTGATGATATTAAACAACGAATGTGAGAATATATCAATGTAAGAACGATCAATTTTCAATTGTGTATCTTATTGTATTTCTTACTAAACGAAGATAACATATATGTTATTTTGCATAGACCAAGTTCATCATTCCAGCAGAAGGAAAGAAATGGGTGATGGATGGTCTTCGCGATGCTTGGAGGCGACACAAGAGTAATATTAAGAAGAATCATTTTGATGGGTATCATACTATTGAAGATATGCTAAAACAACGTCCCGCTGAGATACCAGAAGTTCAATTCCTCCAATTGATAGAGTATTGGAGGAATTCAGATGTTCAAGTGAGATTAAACTGTGCATTTCTACTCTTGAACATATTGTTGCATTATATTTTTTTTCCTTTTTGATTTACTAATTGGTAAACTTCTTTTGGTGCTAGGCCATGTGCAAATTAAATTCTGAAAATAGAAAAAAACAAAAGTGGAGGCATCGGATGGGACCTATTAATTTTGCAAGAGTACGAGTGGCACTGGTATTTGTTCGATACTTTGTGAAAAATATGGCTTTCATTTCTTTACATACTTTTTTTGAATACATTTATGTTTGTTATTTATTTCTCTAGTATAATTTTTAGCGTGCAAGTAAAGAGAACAACGAGGAACCATCTAAGTCTGAAATGTTTATTGCAACTCGTACAAAACAAGGGAAGCAAGTTCATGAAGATGCTCAAATTGCAATAGTAAGTCATGTTGAAACTAATACATTTTCTGGGGCTTAGATTCTTTATATGGTTCTCATAATTTTTTTTTTGGCAGTCTGAACTTCAGAACCGTCAAAACGCTGGGGAATCATCGAATGAAGCATTTAGAGCAGTGTTTGGAAAGGAGCAACCTGGTCGAATACGATGCTATGGAAGATCAGTGACAACAAGTTCTCTTAAAAAAGACGATGAAATCAATAAGATCCAACAAAAGCATAACAATGAAGTCTCTACCTTGAAAGCAGAAATGCAAGAAATGAGAGAAGAAATGCAAGAATTGAGGCAAATGCGTCATTGCTTTAATCTATTTGTGCAAAACAATCCTGAACTTTTTAGTTCAGATATACCAGGATTTGTCGGATCTAACCAACCTTCTCNGGGTATAGTTGGGGTCGTTTTGGGGCTGATTTAGAGCTGAAGTTTAGAGGTGCTTCACTAGAGTTTGTGGCCACT